GTGTTCATCTTGAGGACCTTCCCTCGGGGGTGCAGCCCTGTCTCCTGACAGCAGTCCCGCGGCCAGCTGGCAGAGCACACCAGTCCCTAGCATCTGAGCACGCGGTGCGCATGTATTCTATATTTTATTTACTGATTTTAATGCACACATAACCGAGAACTCACCACCTAGCTCCCTAGTGCTACAAAGTGACTTCACTTTGTAGTTTCCTCTCTGTCATTGTCTGCCGGGATTTTAGTTCCTCTCTTCTGCAGTGTTAAAAAAAAAAAAAAAAAAAAAAAAAAAAAAACAGAAATGCCTCCAGGGGAAGAGCCAGCTGAGGAGCAGGGGAGCTCACACCTCTCTGGTGACTTGGCCTCACTGATGTCATTTTAACATAGTCAAGCACATGGTCCTGCATTTTGTGTTTCTTTCCTGATTGACATTTGTTCTAACAAAAGTCTACTCTTGTAACAGGAGCAGAAAATAAACACACTTGACTTTTTGCTGTGTACTTGGACCTTCAAGTTTCTTACCTGTTGTCTCCCAAGGTTTCCATCAAGGCCCATCCATACACATAGAAGCAAATGGCTTTTCCCTTTGTGTCTTCTTCCTTCCTGTCTGAGCTCCCTGCAGGGATGGTTAAGGATGTCAGCAAGTAGCAGTGGGGAGAAGTCTGGAGACAGACTTCCATCCTAGGTCTTGTTGCCTTCTTTTCTCACTCAAAGTCTGTAAAGTGTGCTGGACCTACTTGATAAAAGGAAATGTTTTTAAGGAAAATTATTATTCAGGGAAACTTTTTTTTTTGTTTAGGATATGTTTGTGCTTTCACAATGACAAAAAGAAAAATGGAACATTTTATGCATAAAATTTCAAAATGTCTGTGCATTTTAGGCTACTTAGTAAATTAGTTATGAAAAATTAATGGTTTATTAAAATAAATATACTAATGATGCAATATTTTACAATTTAAAAGATAATGAAAGGCTATTCTTTTAAAAAGAAACAACATTATCTATTGCTGAATGATTGCAGTGTGTATTATACATATGTGGTACATACAAGTGAGAGAGCCTGCACACATGGCCATGTGTGAGCATGCAGAGGCCTGAGAAGGATACTGGGCATCTTTCTTTCTTACTCTCCTCCTTATTCCCTTGAGATAGGATCTCTCACTAAACATGAAGCTCACTATTTCAGAAAGGCTGACAGGCCAGCAATTACTCAAAATAGGCCTGTTTCTAATGCCCAGCATTGAGTTTACATGTTTGCATAGTCATTCTTTCTTTGCTTTTTACATGGATGGTAGATATTTGACCTCAGGTCCTTATTCTTGCAGATAAAGTGTTTCCTGCTTGACTCTAGACCCTGCCAAGTGGACAATCAGTCTTAACCATCATACCAGCTCTAGTAGAAGTTTTCATGTGAGGATGCATTTGGGATGAGAACAAGGGACATGGGAACCTCAGTTGTTTATTTAACATAAACATCCTAGGAAAACTTAAGCCTTTTGAGACAATTAAGAACTTTAACAGAACCTGACCTCTTAATACATCATAGTCATATAGAAATAGCCAGAGCCCCAAAACCAGGTGACCTTGTTACTGCTCCCTTCTAAGCAGGTGTACAAATGAATTTCTCATTTGAGAACACCTGAGTTTGGCTCACATAACCACCATTCTGTGTCTATTGTATCTCAAATTCAAGGACATTTGTTGTGCAACAGTTTCTTCTGAGATGAATCATCCTATCCTACAAGGAGATGCTAAGACTCAGAAAGTAAACAACTCAGAAGTTTCAAGAAGTCTCTAAAACTGACCAGTTGCCCTTGTCTCCTCCCTCTTCTAAGCTTAGAAAAGTTAGGGTAAGGATTAGGTTAGGAAGGACTGTTCAGAGACACCCCCAGGCAAGCTGAGCTGCCTGAGAGGGATTTAGGCCAGCAGAGCTGCCTATAAACAGCCTTTACTTTATAAATCTGCCTGCAAGTTGTGCAGTGGACTCCAGGTGTCAGCTTCCATGAGCTGAGCTGTCACCTTTGCTGGGATGGACTTTTGGTGAAACAGTTGTCTTTCTTTGATCTATTTCTGTTCCTACAAGTAACCTCAATAAAACTCACTGGTCATCAAGTTGGATTGGGATGGTATCCTCCCTTAGGTTGCTTGTTGGTTGCCTGCCTGGACTGAACGAGGTTTTGTTCATGTCTCTCAGGAATAGTGTCATACAACAGACATGGAGGTACAGTTGGGATAATGTGTCATAATTTCTCTCAAGGAAGAACTTTAATGCTAATTTCCTTACTATCAATACTTCAAATCATATGCCATTCTACTTACAATAGCTATTTTTAATTGTTGTCTAGTACTAAAGGGACTGAGACTAAAGTTATTCACCACTTGTAAGTAGAGTGATGGGGGTCAGAATATGGTCACTTCAATAGACCCACTTATGGAACTTGGGGTAAAAAGGCTATACTTGTTATGGGTATTCTCAAAGGTAGAAGGTTCAAAGGTGCTTGTTTCAAAAGATAAATGAAGAAATCTGAAATACTTTGTGTTCCCACTGCTACACACACCACATACTCACATATCCCATATACATCCCACACATGACACATACATGTCACCTCCACCACAAGATACACACAAGCTGTAAAATGAATGCCATAGTTTATTGATCACAGTGAGTCTGGCTTATTGATAAATCTGGTTAGTTCTTATAAGAGCCTCCTTTGTATTTTTCTTTCAAACTGGAAAGTTTTATAGTGAACCAGAAATTGTTTTAAGCTTTTCTTCTGACACATGATGGGAGAAAATGGGAGCAAGAAAAAGAACTGGTGTGGGGAGGGAGGGAGGGAGGGAGGGAGGGAAGGAGGGAGGGAGGGGAAGGAAGAGGGGAGCAGGAGGGAGGGAAGAGGGAAGAGGGAGGGAGGGAGGGAGGGAAGGGGGAGGGAGGGAAAGGGGGAAGGGAATGAAGATGGGAGGGAGGGGAGGGCGGGAGGAGAAGCTCATGAGAGCACACAGAGGTTAAAGGACTGAGATCAAGTCAGTAGGTAGAGCCTGGACCTCTGGGCAGTGGCATCTTCTATTGGTGCTCACATCATCTTCACCTCATTTCCATATTACATCTTCTGTTCTCTAAGACCAAGAAGCACACTGGGAGAGAAAGAGCATCTTATTAAAACTAGCTTCACATTCCCTACGCAAGTGTTCGTAGCTTTAGTGCAGTCCCTGTCCTCAAGGAAGCCAAGGCCCTGACATTTGTGCGTATTGTCCCTGCACTCTGGTGCCTCTGACAGTGCATCTGGATTAGCAAGCTAGAAGACAGGTGTCTAACAATCTGCCTCAGTTACTGAAAAGCTCTCCCAGGAGCAGCTGGGTGAGTGACAAGCAGAATCTGCAGTATGAGGACAGTTTACCAGAGGGTGATATGGAAGTGTTCTCACTCTGTTCTTTGATAGCTCCCTGCGATTAAGGGTTTTGTTTTGTTTTGGTTTTTTTCGTGGCAGGGTTTCTCTGTGGCTTTGGAGGCTGTACTGGAACTAGTTCTTATAGACTAAGAACCAGGGTGGTCTCAAACTCACAGAGATCTTCCTGCCTCTGCCTCCAGAATGTTGGGATTAAAGGTGTGTGCCACCACCACCTGGCCCTATGACTAAGTTTACAGTTATAGATTCACATAATGCTGACATGAATGGCTAGGCTTTATAATTTTTCTTAGTGGCTTAAGATTTTAACCCCCTGCAGGCAAATGTGTAGCTCAAATGCCTGCTTATCACTCTTCCCCTACACACTCGCTTTTCTTACCAAGTTGCTAGAATGCTGTTTCCTCTGAATGATGGCAAGGAAAGTTTTCATATTTCCTGTTCCCAACCCAGGTGTCCACTATACTTGTTTTCATTTTCAAGTTTTGAGTCATTCATATGCTGATTCACAGAGAAAGTGGAAAAATGCACATTGCTTTTCATGGCTAACCCATCATTTAATTAAAACTCATCTCATCTGGCTTCCAAATGGAACTACATTTTAGCAGGACGACAGGCTGGACCAAAGCCCATTCCTTACAAGACTGGGGACATTCATCAGAGCATAATACAGAAAAATTCCCATGCGTGCCGCATGGAACCCCATTCATAAATACAAACAATGATCTCAGCTTCTCTTGACAATGGAGACTTCCTGCCTGGTGGCACAAATAGGGCTGAAAAGATAGCAAAACACTGACAGGGACCAGGGTATACTGATTCAAGTGAAATTGACTTGGGAAACTATTAAAGGTTACAAAAAATGATCAGTTACAAAGACAAATAAAAGAAATTAATAATATTGCTAATTCACAAAATATATTTTGTTTTTCCACAGCTGCGGCTTGGGATGATCCTGGGCAATCCTAATACTCATTTCTTATTCTTGACCTTTCCTGTCAACTGTCTTTCATCTCATACCTGCTGAAATTATGCAAAACCTTACCACAACACCAGTCTTAGCTGGATTGCTATTATTTCTTTATCCTAAAACACCTTAGTGATAAATATAAGATTGCTGAAAGCTCATTTGGCTCTTGAATTTCAGTGGTTTGTCTTTTTTCCTGTCTTTCCTGCAAACTTTGATAATTATCAGAGACCCAGACTTTTTCCTATCCCTCAAGGCATCTGATGCTTCAAATAAAATACACATTAAGTAAAGAAACTTTAACTATATTGTGTTAATATAGTACTGAGAAACAGTTTAGCCTTTTGGATAACATTGGTATATTTTCAAGCACTGTGTAAATCTTTACTATGTCATCTAATTAAGAGATAAAGGATACCCCAGATTTCTGTTAGCTCTGTCGGTGTAGTTTTAGTTCATTTTGGGGAAGATATATGGAAAACAAAACCAAGTGTTGAAAACTGTCAGGCTAGAATGAAAGGAATTTATGGAGTTTTATCTTATACAAATATGATTATCGCATTTTCAAGTATCAGACACTTAAGTCAGTCACATTGGTTATTTCTTATGAATTTGAAGTACTCGTCAAACAATGCATACCTTTATACAATTTGTCCAGCTTTCGAGTATAATTTTCCATATTTTGAGAAGAGGTCAAACGATGGTAGAACTGTCTGAAAATCCTAGAAAAAAGAGATCAGATTACACAGAGACCCACTGTTCGTACTGTTACAATTATCTCATCATTTGATAGATTTTAACAACTGCACTTTACCCTTCCCCATCACGCCCTCCACACACAGTCAGCAGCTAAGATTTTTTTCATCAGTCTAAATCTTTCTTTAAATTCACCCTTAAAAGAAAATGTGTTTGCTTGTTTGGATTTTTTGAGACCAGGTCTCACTGTAGCCCTGGCAGGCCTGGAAATCGCGCAGGCCAGGTTGGCCTCACACTTGTGTCAGTCCTGAGTTCTGGAATGGCAGGCTCACAGAGCCACGCTTCATAAGCACAGTTTTTAAAGTCTGTGGGTGGCACACACAGCAGTTCAAGTGCCAACAGGAAATTTAATCACCTTCTTTCAAGAAGTGTGCAACATGATTGCCTTCGCCTCCGTTTGGGGATGGGGTTCTATACTTAACTTTTGGCCAAGTAAACATTTGCTAACTGAATACACGCAAAGAGGAATGTGATGTGTCCACATCACTGCACTAGAGGCCATGTGTGGAAGCATCAGACTTGGTTTGCTCTTTAGAGAGTATGTGGAGAGTAGCTTTTACTGGTAGCCAGACTAGCAGCATTTGATTAAGAAAAGGATGCTTGTACAGATGTAGACTAAACTAGTAAAGCTCCTAACGAGATAGCTTCCACACCAATCTTGGATACTGTGAAGACATGATCAGACTATGTAGAGGTTTAATTTCTTCTTAAGAGTCTTTCATCAGGGAAAATTCTGGCCCAAACTTTCTGTTCAAAGAAGGTCTAAGAGAGGGTCTTCGTTCTTGGCTGGCTCTGAGAGGGTTCACATATCTCAAGTACACATAGGAAATCTTCAGAAGGACCCACGGTATGTCCGTAAGTCACCAGGGATCTGCCATGTGTCACTGAGATCTGCCATGTGTCACCAGCGATAGGCCATGTGTCACCTGGGATCTGCCATGTGTCACTGAGATCTGCCATGAGTCACTAAGATCTGACTCTGCCTTGGATCAGTGATGACAAATCTCAGGAAAACTTCTGCACTTTCATTCTGTGCTTGTTTTGCCTATGTGGCATGAAAGTTGTTATGGGGACTGCTCACGAATGCAGAGAGAATTGTGTGCAACAGAAACTCAGATAAAACAACAACAACAAAACCCAGAGTAAATGTGGATGAAATCCTTTTTGTTAGGCAGCACGGACACGGTGGCTTGTGTCTAATGAAGTTTTGTTTTCCTGTGGGGCTCAGAAGCTGTAGCCATGTTTGTTGCTGTTGTTGTTGCAGACATGTTGTGGAGGTATACAACTGCGGCCCACTGCAGTACTCCCACATGACACCTCAGACACTTCTACGAATAGCTAGAAACTCATACAGCTCTTCACCTTGAATTATAAAGTTCTGCTGTCTATATAACACATGACAGTGATTTTTCTGCTGGCAACTCAATGGACACTATAATCCAGAACTGTGAGTAGCTTCAATTTTTAAGTGTATATAACAATATTTTATTTAATAATAACAAGTATTTAATTTGAAACAACTAGACCTCTCCCACATGAAATGCTAAATAGGAGAGAAATGTGGTAGAGGTCAGAAATTTAGCTCTAGGTATAAAGGGAAAATGAAATCTTTAGTTTTTCTTATTCCTAATTAATCTAGCAGATAATAGTCTTTGTTATGAAGTCATAGTAACAGTCATGTGACTGGTGACTATAGCTATGGATGAGGGAAGGAAGTGATGCCAAAGTGACATACAGGGGTCTGGAGAGAGGAACTATATTAAAATATTTTAACTGTAAGCAAGGCAGTGGTATATGGAATTGGAGCCATTGGCTGTAAATATGTACTCCACACTCTGGAGTAACTATAAGAAAATATTTTAGGAACTGCAGCTAAGAGTCTGAGAATGGAGAGACATGTAATATTATAAAATAGTTAATTAATAACAGATGTTCTAGTTAAAGAGGAAAAACAAACTAAAACTAAATATATGGCAAGTGTAGGGGCTGAAGAGCACTGGCTGCTCTTCCAGAGGACCCAGGTTCAATTCCCAGCACCCACATGGTAGCTTACAACTGTTTATATCTATGATTCCAGGGGAACTGACACCCTCACACAAATATATGTGTGGGTAACACATCAATGAACATAAGATAATAATAAATAAGTTATTTTTAAAGAAAAGAGCAAGTGCAATGAAGAAAAAGCAGTTGCCATAGTGGTAGAGTGAGATCCAAATGCATTAATAATCATTTTAGATGGGCATGGTCTAAATGAACCATAAAAGACAATGGAATCTTTAATAATATACTTTAAAAACTTGCTTTAAATGTAAAACACATATAGTGAACGTAAAGGGTCAGAGAAAGAAACACCACATTCACATTAGCCAAAGATAGATGAAATAGCTCTATTAATTTTGTATAAAATAGATTTCAGAATAAGCAAAATGATCAGGGATAATGAGAGTCATTAAAGAATGCTAAAGGGGTCATGTCTCCAAGAAAACCTGTCAGTCATTAATGTGTTTGTGCCTAAAATCAGAGGGTCAACATACAGGAGGCAAAAACTCATCGAGCTGGTAAGGAGAAGTGGATGGATTCACTATTGTACTTGGTAAATTCCATACCCCTTTATCAGTGACTGACAGATCCAGCAGGTAGAAAATCAACAAGGGTATAATTGAACTGAACAGCACTGTCAATCAATTGGACGTAATTGACATCTATAGACTTTTTCATCCACCAGCCGGAGGGTACACACATTCTCCTCAGATTCATATAGAAACACAGCAAGATAAACTGCACTCTTTAACAAATGAAAAACAAACCACATAGTGCTGTTTCTGAACAGAGCAGATTCACACTGGAATTCAATGCCAGATGCAAGGAAACCTCCAAATATTTGAAAATTAGATAGTGCACTTTTGAAAAGGACACAAGTTAAAGACATCTCAGAAGAAACAAAACAAACCTAACTAAAAATGAAAACAAAGCTTATGAGGACGGAAACCCCAGCAACAGTGCTGTGGGGACAAGAGCAGCAAGGACAGAGTGAAAGACAAAGCCTTCCATCAGTGACCTGAACCTGGGAGGAAACTAGGAAGAGCCCACACAACTAAGCAGAGGAAAATAATCCCAGTAGAAACCAGGAAGCGAAAACTAGAAACCGGGTTAGGGAGATGGCTCAGCAGGTAGAGCTCCTGACCCCCAAGCTTGCAGGCCAGACTCTGGGCCCCAGCACCGCATAATCCCTGCATTCTGAGGGCAAAGACAGGGGTCCCCAGGTAAGCCCCAGGTTCTTTAGTGACAGACCCTGTGATAAAAACAGGAGACAGAAACCATCAGGCAGTTCTGATGTGGGGACCTTGAAATGAGTTCTGTTCCTCGTCCTTAGCACCAGCTCTGCCTTGCACAGAATCTGGAAACTTTCTCATTTCTGTCCCAACTTCTGTCCTGTTGTGAGCCCAGAAATACCAAAACTGTTCAGAAGCACTGGTGTGGGCACTGACTGCTCATGTTTCTTCTCCCTTTATGTAACAACTCTAGTGAACAGAACACAGTTTATGGGAATGATCAGATGCTTCATTGGCCCTGGAAGGTGGACCAGAAACTACTGTGCAGACACAGGGATGGAGAGATGCCCTAGCTAGTAACTAAGTACTAGCACTATAGCGGAACTACAGTTTTGGTCTTGGGAAACCTCTGGTACTGACTCACAAGTTGTTCCTGATACAATAAAACAGCTACCCTGCCATCAGAAGCTATTTATTTGTGAGTCCAAGAAAGCCACTTGCACAATGCTCTTGTGGGGTCAGGCTAAACAGGAGGTGGGGGACCGCTTTTCTGAAAAACAACCTCATCAGGAAAAACACCAGGGATGGTGATTCTACATCCTGCCATAGCTGCTGCCTGCCAGCGCAGACAGCTTTTGCTATTAGGATGCCCAGCCAAACACAAATCATCCACCGCCACAATGGGCTCCTTGGGACAATTTAGGAGTCTTTGGAACTGAATGGCTCTTTGAGCTGGAATGCTGCCCAGCTTCATTTTCAAATCCAAGTCAAAATGACAAAGAGTGAATTTCCTGGGCCACTCACCCCCAAGTGTAGGAATGTGAGGTCAGCAGCTGTGTGTTTATCTAGTAGTTTAAGGCTTTTCAGCAGACAGCTGAGCGTTTAAACAACCTGTGTTCACACTCGTCAGTGAATCGGCCCTGCACCCTCCCTGAGAGTAGGGTGAAAATCAAAAGTTAGGTACATACTGATCACTTTAAATGATTTTAATACATTCAGCTTTAAAATATTGCAGAGATTTTTATCTTAGAACAAACAAACAAAAAGAGTAGATTAGGAAATTTGAGGGGATGTTAAATGCTACGTTAGTGAAAATTATTTCCTGACTGAAACTCCAAAATCTCTTGCTAGCTAGCCCTCAGGATTCCCCCTGCTTCCCAAATGGGAGCTCATAGGGCACCTTCAAAGAGTCCCTGATAGGCTTCGTAGAAACTCAGCCTAAACAAGCCTTCTAAGAGCGACCTGAGTAACTTTAGTTGACTTTGGAGACCATAAACTGAGAAATTTATTATTAACTGGTGTAGGTGACAGTGCTGAATTGTGTATCAGGATGATAACAGTGGCCACTTTACATTACAGAGACTCCAAGGGTGCTTTCCCAGAAGTCTGTCTGTCTTCATCTGGGCATGCACATGCGCAGGTGTCCATGAGTGATGCTGACATCTGAGGACCTGGAGCTTCAGTCTCACCAGGTCACACTAACTCCATTTGATGAACAGGTATGAAGAGCTAGGAAGATCCGAGTACACACATGAAGACCACCAGTGACCTCCCTACACCAGGGCACCCCTCTCCTCTTCTTCCCCTCTTCCTTCTTGGCATGTTGGCTTCCCATGTAGCCTTGTCTGTCCAGAACTCTGCTACCCAACCTGGCCTCAAACTCTGGCTGCTGACGCCTGCTTAGCAAATGC